TAACCTCCTTTGCCAGGTGCAGCTCATTCTTTATCTTTGCCTGATTTTGTCCTTGCAAGTTCTTGCTATTTCCTGGTACACTTCCATGGTGACCTGACCATTCTTTCATGTCCTATATGCTTTCCTTTTGCATTTGAGGCTTTTTAGAAGTTCCTTGTGCAACCACATTGGTCTCTTGCTTCTTTTGCTTCCATTGTGTAAGGACAAATCCTTGTTGAGCTTCCAAAGTTGTGCCCCTTTAGAAACTTCCAGCCCTCTTGGATGTCTTTATCCTTCAGTCTATCCTCTCATGACACCATGCCTATTAAGTCCTGAAGTCAGGTGAAATCCACTTTTTTTAAATCTAGCATCCTAATTTTGCTGACCTCATGGTTTACCTGTCTCAGGATCTGGAATACTATCATTTCATGCTCACTTCCTCACAAGTTACCCATCACCTTGCCATCCTCTACCAGTTCTTCCCTGTTGGTCAGGACAAGATCCAAAAAATAGATGATCCTCTAGTTACATCTTCAACCTTCTGGAACAGAAAGTTGTCCTCCACACAAGTTAAGAACTGGCTGACATTTTACATTTGGCTGCACTGTTCTTCCAGCAGATGTCCGGAAAATTGAAGTCTCCGATCAGTACCATCTCATAGGTTTTGGATAGATTTGTCATGTGCTTGACAAATGCCTCATTCACCTCCTCTTCCTTAGTTGAAGTGCCCCTGCTGACATTTTGTAGTGTGGGGACACAAATACAGCTGAAGCGGCAGTCTGCTGGAGCGCAGTAATTATGCAGCATGTCAGAGCACCTTTTCTGCACATGTCTAGCATCTAAAAAGAGAGAGAGAGAGAGAGAAAGAAGAAAGAAAGAGAGAGAAGGGGGGAGGGGGAAGCAAACACACCACTGGAAAAAAGGGAAAAAAATACCCCAAACACACCAGGGACTAGGCAAACACTCTAGCACCAGTCAAACCACCCTAAGTTATTAACACAGAGAAAAGACTCTTCAAGGCCGTCGCACACCTGAGCTGCTTATATCAGAGCAACTGCTCTCTCCTCGCCCCTCCTTCTTCCCCTGACATGCTTCCAATGCCAGGAAGGAAAGGGCTAGATAGTGCAAGAATTATCTCTCTGTCCTACCCCCTCCTCCCCATATTTATGTCAACTTAGAGCCATTTCTTACCAAGGGAATCCTCAGCTGGCCAATAGGGGCCAGAATCTGGCTCCTCTGTACAAAACAATAGGGCAAAAGGATCTAGTCCTTAATTTTAATGAGATTTATTATATTTTCATTTTATTCATTACCCACTCTTATTCTTGGAGATGAACCTTACAATTTAAGCAAGGCCTTAAAACAGAACCAGAGATACTAAAGGATATACATAGGTATACTTTCAGCTTGCACGTACAAGACTTCTCCAAATGAAAATGTGTGTAGAGTAAGAAGGGGCACAAGCATCACAGAATAACTGTACAATATCACAATATCTCAGTCTTCAAGATAATTGAGTGACAGTATAGCACTATAACCAACAATGCTGTGTTTTTTTACCTGTTCCACAACAGCTTTACTTTCATACACATATGCAAGGTTGTCTTCAAGTAAAGGACAAAGCTCATCCACTTTAGTTAGACAAATCAGCTGTGGAACTCCTGCATCAAAAAATAAGTAAGGTTTTACACCTAGTTTTTTAATCAGTTTTTCATTGCAATGACTTCTGCCTAGAAAAGGCAAAAGAATTTTGTTTTGTTCAAAAGTATTAGAAAATAAGATTAATTATAAGCAACTATGAATTAAACAATTATAAAACAACCTATGCATGTGGGTGGGAAAATATTTTGTAAACAAATTCATTATTTAGTTAACACCATAGACACCACACTTAATGGCTAATTTAGTAACTGGGCCAGGGTGGAAATTTGATTATTCAAAACAAGGGCTACAGAAAACATGGTATGCCTAGCAATTAGCTTTTCATGGCTCTGTCCACTTTATCCTCTGGAATTGACTTGTACCACACTGGGAGCAAATCACACTCCTGCTACTGTTTCTAGCCCTACCCACAGGAGATAATGGTGTGGAGCAGTGCTTGCTAGTATGGGACTCCC